CTACTATTAGCTTTTATAGATATTTGTTATCAATAAATCAATTTGATATGCAGATGTTAAGAGATGAGTGGAATGAAGAACTAGAAGTTTCTATATTGCCTAGACAGTGGGAGAGTGTCTTAACTTCTATAACAGAAGTGTTAATGGACCTTAAACTACGACTTATACAACAACAAAAAGTAATATTTAGAATTTACTGGACTCCATTACATTTGTATAGAAAAGGATTGTTAAAAATAGTATTTTGTTGGAGGTGTAATAAGGACAAAGCCTCTTTAAAGCAAATCTTTCTACAATGTCCTATACTTACTAAGTTTTGGGAGAAAGTAGTGGACTATATTTAAACATGATTCTGCAACAAAAGCTAAATTTTTCAGAGGATAATATTCTCTTGAATCGCATACCTAGTACATGGAATTTGACATCTGGACAACATAAATGGATTCTCTGTGCCCTTACTATGGCCAAAAGATTAATATTGTAGCATGGGAAAGACAAATGTATGGCCCCATTCACTCAATGGATTGAAGACCTGATTGCACTTGCCACTTATGAGCGGATTGCCTATAGATGTAGTCTTTGTATGGACAAGTATAATGAAATATGGGACTCATTTATACAAAATACAGTACTAGGTTAAAAAAAAAGACAGTTATATAAATGTATTGGAAATATACATGCATTTGAATATTTGCATTAGATAAATATATATAAATGTGCAACTATTTACTGTATAATGGTATACTACACTAAGTTCTTGTATTTTTGTCACTTTTTTGTTATACCACCTTTTAATATTTTCTTCCTTCTCTTGTATTATTATTTTTGTGTTTTTTCCTTTTTGTTATTAAAAAGCAATAAAAAATTATTTAAAAAATCATTTTTGTCTAAATTGCAAGATCTGTCATATTGATCAATATGAGTGTTGAATGCCTCCATCCCCATACCTTTCGTTTATATATGGATATTTTAGTAAATAAAATAGGAAAATAATTCTTTGTTACCTGTAATTATGTCTGCATATAATCACCACCATTTGCTACGTGCTTTGGCCAACTATGGACAAGCTTCTTAAAGCCATCAGAAAAGAACTCCAAAGTTTGCTTCTTCAACCAGGTCTGAAGTCCTTTCTATCTCAAGTCAAACAGTTGCCAATGAAGGTATTCCTTCAATTATGGGAAAAGGCGGAAGTTGCATGGTGCCAAATATGAGCTGTATAGTGAATGAGGTGAAACAGTGAGATCAAACTTGCAGTTGTCTCTTGGGTGGCTTGCGAGATGTGAGGACTAGCGCTATCATGGTGCAGCAAAATTTCCTTTGTGTGCTTCCAAACTCTGCTTAATCATTCTTTCAAACTGTTGAATGTTATAAAGCAGTGTTCTGAGCTGATAGTAATGCCAGGTTCAAGGAAATTCATGTGAATAACACTGCCTAAATCCCCCAAAACTGTAACTATGAATTTTCCTACTGAAGCCTGGGTATATTTTTTCTTTCCCCTGTAGGTGAAGCTTTGTGAAGATATTCTACGGACTGACGCTTCATTTCTGGATCATAATGATGAGCTCATGCTTTGTTGACTGTCACAGTGCTATGAAGAAATTCCTCTCCTTTATTCTTGTAGGTGGAAAATTGCTGGCAAATATCAACTCTTGAAGCTTTCATTTCTGCTGACAGCATGCAAAGTGCACATATTGCACAAACCTTTCAAAACTGAAGAATATCAATAATCTAACCCACATGTTCCTGTGTTACACCAAACTTGACAGCAGTTTCCCTTTGCATGATCTGCCAGTTGTCCTTAATCAGTTCCTAAAACTTTCATGTGAAACTCATCGGTTGCTGTCACAGATTGTTCACTTCATTCTTGTTCACACAAATCAACTCTTCCTGAATTACTTTTTTTTTTTTTTGCCCAGCAATGCATAGTACTCATATTAACACAGTCAACACCATAAACAGCCTGCATTCAGCAGTGAATTTCAACTGCAGGGATTCCTTTGGCAAGCAAAAATTTAATCACAGTACGTTGATTAAGCATATTCGTGTGCGCTCATCACAGGCTTCCTTTTCACAATCTTTTCTCACAACAACTCAACCAAAGTGAAAGAACAGATGTTAAAGAACATGTCTGAGCTTCTAGCACATCAGAATCGCCATCTGTTGGTGACTTGCTACTTTTCACTCAACCCTCGTACTGTGTGCTAGATCTTTCTGCAGGAAATCTAATCTGAAAGTAATAAAGTCATCCCTGAATTTATTTCAGATGCTGAACACATCCATGAGTACCTCTGAGCAGTTTGGGACTCAGTACTGGGAGTCTCAGTGGTTGCAAGGGATTACTTCTTTGGTTTGGAATGTATCAGATAACCAGAATATCTGTAGATACACATGAAAGCCATGCCCACTGTTATCCTAGTTACCAGGTATGCAGGCGTGCTCAGCGAAGTTGCATGGCACAATTTTGACACACCTGCTAGTCTTCTATTATCACAACAGATGTGTCAACCTGTACTCAGAAAAGCAGCCAAAATGTTTGTTTCCATCAACTCTCTTACAGAGCTTAGTGATTGCATATTTGTTATTACATCATCTGCATAGCGTTTCATTTTTTATTCCTCTCCTTGAATTTTAATCCCAGTTGTTTAATCTTTTTGGATTTTGTCCATCAGGCCTTCTAGCATGATTACAAATAATAAAGGAAGGAGTACATACCCTTGCCTTATGCCATACTGAAAAGCTTGCAGTGTTCTATTCGCTGTGATTTTTGCTATTTGCCAGTAATACAGTATATGCTCTCCACCC